GCAGATTACACCCAACCTTTTAGCCTGTACACTGATGCCAGCAATCATGAACTGGGTGCAGTACTGGCACAAAACCAAGGCGGAGAGGAACGAGTGATCGCTTACGCCAGTCGCAGTCTACATCCTGCAGAGCGAAATGATGCAAACTACAGCTCATTTAAATTGGAGCTCCTGGCACTGAAATGGGCAATCACCGAAAAATTCAAAGACTATCTAACTGGTGCTAAGTTTACAGTGTTCACTGACAATAATCCAGTTGCTCATCTACAAACTGCTAAGCTTGGAGCCGTAGAACAAAGGTGGGTTGCTCAGTTGGCCTCATTTTACTTCGAAGTGAAGTACTGAGCAGGGAGAGAGAATGTGAATGCAGATGCATTGTCCAGATTCCCCAAGGTTACAACCAACATTGGCTACACTGTAGCAGCTGTAATGGATGCCGATGCAGAAGACATGGGTTCAATTGGAGCTTGGGGAAGATTGGCAGACCCTCCAGGGGGCGGACCCAGACATACAGCAGGTACGAATGTATGTGGAGAGGGGGAGAGCCCCAAATAAGACTGAGCAAGCAGTTCTAGGTCAACCGGCAAAAAAACTGCTGAAACATTGGAAGAGACTTTGCATACACAAGAGGGTTCTCTGCAGACATGTGTTTGACTCTTATATGTGTGAGCCCCGTTTCCAGATTGTGTGCCCAGGGTCCAAACGTCAGGAGGTCTGGAGGAAATGCCATGAAGCTACAGCCCACGCAGGAGTGGAGAAGACCCTCGCTCACCTGAGGCGCCATTTCTTCTGGCCAAGCATGGAAAAGGGGGTACAGTGTTTCCAGAATGAGTGTGTCGTCTGTAGTCTACAAAAAGACCGTGTAGAACCACGAGCACCTCTTAAGCCGATTGATGTGTCTTACCCTTTAGAGATAGTAGCTCTTGACTTCCTCTTTGCGTCGACCGAATGATACATAAAGTATTTTAGTAATGACCGATATGTTCACCCGTTATTTGTGGGCTGTTCCTACACATGATCAAACTGCTCAAACTACTGTCCGTGCAATTTGGTCTCATGTCATCCAACCATTTGGTTGCCCAGCGCGTTTTCTTTCTGATCAGGGACCAAACTTATGAAAGAGCTATGTAGCTTGTATGGTGTTTCTGAAAGCTGCACTACCCCATATCATCCAGCAGGTAATGGGAGAGTAGAAAGGATGAACCAAATGCTCTTAAACATGCTTCTTACACTGGAGTAGGGCTGCAACTAACGACTATTTTGACAGTCGACTAGTCAGCGACTGTTGAAACGATTAGTCGACTAATCGGATAATTATTACTTTTTTCTTAAATTCAGCATGAAGTTGATTTAATTATGTGGCACATGATAATGAATACAAAAAAGATGGTTACAATGAAAAAAACTTATTTTATTGCACATACTGTGGATTTGTACAAAAATTAAATAAAAATGTCCTAACTTCAATTAGACACAATCCTCAGTCAACAGAGACATAAATTCATAAATAAATAAACCTCTGTCCATTTTTTAGGGACAGGCAAATAAATGATTAATAAATTAAAATCAAATAAACATTTTTTCCCCTGTAAACCAAGAACAGGCTCATTAGCAGCATCAGAGCATTAAATAAAACAAAGATGTGCATTTTGTGAAGTACATTCAGTGGTCAACTGTCTGTTGCAAAAGACTGGCTGGTCCAAACAACACACGTCAGTGTGAGGGAGCTGCTGACCTCTTTTAGGATCTCCTTTACCTTTAAACACAAAAGTTGATTTTTGTAAATATTTAAAGAG